GGAGTAGGTGGAATCCGATAGGAGCGTGTAATCCAATAAAACCCTAACACGAAGAGCATGAGCCTGGAGAGGGCTCTCCCGCACTGAACAATGACGACCCTCCGCCACCCAACGAGGTGCGCGTAATCCTCCTGGTGCTCGTCCTCGCGATTGGGAACGGAGTGCATCGTGCAAACCCTACAAATCATGTAATAGAGCACGAGGATGGTGGCGACGGCGACCACCCTGACCGGGACCAGCGTCACGAGCGCCACGCCGAGCAGCACCTTCTCCCGCGTCGGCAGCTCGCCGCGTCCCATGGCGCCGTAGGCGTCGCGCCGCACGAACGCCGCGAATTTCTTCTCGAGCTCGTCGGAGGCGGCGGCGGCGGTGGCGGACTTGAGGAGAGGGCGGTCATCACTAGCCGGAGCGCGCGGCGGCGGCGGCGGCTTCGGCGGTTTTGAATCCAGGTTTTGGAGTTCGGACTCCATGGAGCGTTAATCATATGACCAATTTTCTTCCATTTGGTTGCTTGTTTCGCAAGAAAGGAAATGGAATACGCAGAACAGAACGAGAGAAGAATGAAGATGAAATGAAAGGATTTTTTATTTATTTATTTTTTATCTTTTAATTTTTGAAAAAGGAAAACAGATGGAAGACAATTGAGAGCCGATAATTTACATCGAAAATCATTTGTTTATTTATTTATTTTAATTCCACTTTTAGTTATCTTGTAACCTGTTCTAGTTATTTATTTTGTTTTGTAACAAAATAACAACAACAAAAAAAATTAAAAACCAAACGTCAATATATAATCTGTTTACACAGGGGCTAATATATAGGGCGTTTAAAGGGTGGCAAAAATTTGCAATAATTATTTTAATAATATTTCTTTGAAATCAGATTTTGATCAGTTTTCCTTTCCATTAAAATATTATATATTTTTGTTTTCATGTTTTTGGTTTTCGTAAAATTAATTTTTTTTTATATATTTTATAACATAAAAATTGAAAATTAATATACAAGTTTTTAATAACAAAAAAAATGATAGAGTAAAAAGTTTAATTTATAGGTTAAATTGATCTTTTTAATTAATAAAAATATGTTTATATAATTTATTTATTATTTTCTACTTGTTTTTCCATTCATTTAAATAAAAAAGATAAAAAAAATTCTCTATTACTTATCTTTCAATTTTTATTCATTCAAATTCTATATTCTATTTTATTTATCTTTTTCCATTTTTTTTTATTTCTTGTCCTTTATTCTTGTTTCATTTCTAACAAGGTGTCACAATCCCAGATAGCATCCAATCTGAAATCATCCACCTCAATCAAACCACTCTATCTATTTTCTATTATCACCAACAAAAAATACTTTGTTATTTTTAAATATAAAACAAATTTTAATTAATATCTTACTTCTTTTAATAAAATTTTTCTTAAAATACTCTTCCTTTAATACATGACTCTTTGGTGTACTATGTTTTGAGCATTTATACCAAGGGCCATTTAAGAATAATATTTTGATATAATTAAAATTTAATGAATTAACTAATTTTTTAATATCTATGAAATTAATTTTTTTTATTTGTAATAGAGAAGAAGAGGAATAGATTTTATTTTGTTCCAGTAATTAATTTCTTAATATCAATCGCAAATAGTATTTGATATGTAACTTTGTTCTAATAATATGCAATGTAAATGCCTAATTTTCGATGGATATGACTTTACAATTCAACTCTAAATATGTGTTGTATCAAATTAGAGATGAAAGAGACACACTCACACAGATAACAAAGAGCAAATAGCGAGAATTAAGTAGAAAAAATTGTTTTCTCACACTAATGTATTTAATTATTTATATACGTCCAACCTTATACTCACACTCACACTTGTGGAGAACAGTAACATATACACATATTTATAAAATATATAAACTAACTATTAATAAATAATACAAATATATAACATTAACAAATTATAAACTAAAAATATACAAGTGATTTCTAAGGACTATACCTTTACATTATACATATAAATTATACATGCAAACTACATATTGACCATACATTTAAATTATTCTCATCAACATATCATGCATGTACTCAATATTCATAATGAATTGCATTAAATCATACACAGGAGTCAACACAAAAATGTCAAGTTACCATTGGACACAATTTATATATAAAATAAAATGACACAAATTATTAAAAGCCTAAAAACAACAAATCATTTTCATAATCTTCTAAAGATAATTTGCATGCCATATTGAGGTATCACACTCATCAACAGCATTGGCCCATGCACATATGTCGGTGATACAACAAAAGAATACCTCTGTAGCACCATGGCTAGTACAACTTTCATTTCAACCAAAGCTAAATTTTGACCCACACAGTAGTTAGGACCTAATCCAAAGGGAAAATATGGAGCTAAATTTTTTCGAGGCTCAACAAATCTCATAGGATTGAATTCAAGAGCATCTTCTCCCCATAACTCAGTATCACGATGAGTGGATGTGATAGATAAATACAGTTGTGTACCAGCAGGAATATCAATGTTCCCTAGCTGAACTCTTTTACTTGCTTGCCTTACCAATGCCCCAGGATTAGGGTAGAGTCGAAGTGTTTCTTGAAGTATCAGGTTCATCTATTGAGAAAACAAGAGCCAAAATTATTATTCTCTCTGGTGATTATAAAAGATACAACTAATTAGGTACTTTTGATATTGTTATCGGGTGAATTGTGCACATTAATAGTATGACTAATTAATTGTGCATAATTTGAATTTCACAATTTTGATAATTTTTTCATCTAACATTTGAATTTATATATTTTGTCAACTAACTTTTAAAATTTTGTACATTTTCTTATTTCATTATTTAACTGTGTAATGTCGTTAATTATCTATTGACATAATATATTGATAGTTAATTAATGTGATACGTTATGTTGACATCTATATTTATATGTTACATCGATAATGAACTAATAGTGTCATTATCAACTAAAGTGTGATAAAATTCACAAAATTATGAAATTTGAGTGACAAAAATGTACAATTAAATGTAAAAAAAGTATTTAAAAATGAGAAAAATAAGGCATGCACTTACAAGTTTTAGTTCACTTAATGTTTCTGATGTTGGGAGAGCATTAGGTCCTAAAACTCCAAGTACCTCCTCACGTGCCTTGCTTTGCCATTCTTGATTTATCCCTAAAAGGAGGAGTGCCCAACTTAATGAAGTTGCACTTGTTTCCTTTCCTGCCATATAAAAGTTTTTACAATCATCCACTATCTCGTCCAATCTTAACTTATGAGTCTCATTGTTGATAAATTTGTGAGAAGACATCAACAAAGAAAGCAAATTTTCTGAATTTTGTTCTGATTTATGACTATCCTCAATCAACCCTCGAATTAATTCACTGGTTTTCTTCTCTAGTCTCTTTCTTTCTTTGTTCTTCTTAGTAGGTAGAAACCTGCATGCATATATAATAATTATTTTAGTTGTTCAATGTTAAGTAAAAGGTAAGAGTAAACAATTATATATGGTGGGTATTGAAGGTTGTTGGGCTTTTTTCACATGATACCTGAACCCAGGAAAATAAACACTTCTGATGGAAAGGGTGACCAGATGATAATGCTGTTCTAGTAACTCAAAAATCTCTTTCC